GTCTTAGATACTGTGCCCTTGAGCAATAAGCAACTTGAACAACCGTGCTTCACTACTGTAGACATTTATGTGGCCATTACAGGGAATACAGTGCTCCCACGTGCATAGAAACAGCCCACATAGGAAATGCAGGAGTGACTACGGGATCGTGAGACCCGTGTTTGGATGCCAGTCACCCTGTTTGCTGTGATTTTGGGCAGTTCACTCACTATTCCCTAGGAAACTTTAGTCACCCCATCTGCAGATGCGAGTAAGTACTATCAGCCAAGAAGCTGATATTCTGATTTTCTTAGGAAGCGAATGTTAAGGCCATTGGCTGAGGCTTACGGATAAGCCACCATGCAAACTGAAAGCCTAAAGATCTTTAAAGCAGCCTCCAGCCAATAAATGGCCTTGTCACAAACCTCAAGAACACACGGGTTTCTATTCTGAGAAATGAAATTTGGCAAAAACAACCTGAAAACAACAGTTAAGGTCCCAGAAATGGTGAGAATATTTACTTCAGAGGAAACCAGGAGGAAATGTGCTTAAATGTCGTTCCCCCCATCTCCGGGCCCGTCTGCTCTGCTGACCCCGCTTGATGGCAGCGACACGTCTATGTCTGTGGCCATCCTGGGGAAAAGGAATGTGTTCAAGGTTCTAGCGCTTCGTCAAGCGCTCACTGTGGCTGGCTCCGTTCCAGGCGCTGGCCTAGCCCTGGGGCAGATAAATCAAATCAGACATGACCTCGGTCCACGCGGGGCTCTTGAAGTGTAGGTTGTGAATGGTCTTTCCTTCACCCTGTCCTCCTGGGTTCTGTCCCTCCTTCTTCCATTATCCAAGGCAGCAGGTTCTCTCCCTGCCTCAGGAGTTCGGCGCTCCTTCTCCTTTCAGTGTCGCTTGTAGCTCTCTGGCATGTCGTGGTCCCAGCACTGCCCAGTTATCTTGCCATTGTCCAGCCCCAGCACGAATGCCACCTCCACCGGCCCCACGCCAGCCTTGCCTTGTCACCCAAGCTGGAAATGAACCGTCTTTCCTCTCTGATCCAAGAGCCATTTGTCTGTGTGTCATTCTCACACTGACCCACACCTGCCTTTGTTTACAGCTGTTGGAGTCCCCATCTCTCTTCCCTGGGGTGGGAGGGGGATCTGGGAGCTCCCTCTCTGTGCCAGGGCCATGTCCAGCTCCTCCCTAACTCTGCCCGGAATTAGCTCGATTACGTCCTTCTGTTGGCGGCCCTCTGCCCTCCTGAGTCCAGGCATGGCTCTTATGGTTTATTTATGTATTATTTTTTGGTCTCCTGTATTGCCGCATGCCCATTCCCTCCCACTCAACCACCCCACTCCTGCCATTGTTTTATTAATAAAAGCACAACCTCTAATCTATCTAAACAACCATAAAGTTATTTACACGTTTGTGTCAGCTTGAATGACTCTTGATGTTTTGGAGTGAATTTGCCTATTGACTAAGGGAATGAAACACCGCCTTGGAATTTCAGGCACCAGTAGCCGGCCAGGAAGGGTTCCGGGCAGGGCAGGTGACCCTGGGAATTTCAGTGGGAGGCGGTCAGCAGCTTAGCCTGGCGTGTGCCTCTTTTCCTCCCCAGACTTCCTGGACTTCAGAGCCGTGTTTCCCCCACCCCTGGTCTACCCGCTCTAGTGGGGCCGTCTACATGCCTGCCGCATTGTCAGCCAGGAGGCTTGGAGAGTTTTCGGTTCCAAAAGATTCTGTCCTTGACATATATTGCCTTTCGAGAACAGCCAGGTCTGACTCTCCTGTGGCTTGTGGTTTGCGCCGCTTGCAGAAATGTCCCCCCTACCACTCTCTGGCGCAGATACACCATGAGTCCCCAGACCAGAGGTTCTCAAACTTTTTGTCTCAAGGTCCCTCTACACTCTTAAACATTATTATTATCTTTTTAAAGATTTTGTTTATTTATTTGAGAGAGAGACAGTGAGAGAGAGCATGAGAGGGAGAAGGTCAGAGGGAGAAGCAGACTCCCCGTGGAGCTGGGAGCCCAATGCGGGACTCGATCTTGGGACTCTGGGATCGGACTCTGAGCCGAACGTTATTAAGGAACCCAAAGAGCTATTGTTTATGCAGGTTATATCTATCTATAGTTTCCATTTTAGAGATGAAAACCAAGAATATTTTTTTAAAGATTTTATTTATTTGACAGTGAGTGAGCACAAGCAGGGGAGCAGCAGGGAGAGGGAGAGGGAGAAGCAGGCTCCCTGCTGAGCAGAAAGCCCGATGAGGGGCTCCATCTCAGGACCCTGGGATCATGACCTGAGCTGACGGCAGACGCTCAACCGACTGAGCCACCCAGGTGCCCAACAATATTGCCCACCAATATTTTTAACTATTTAATTTAATAAAAAATAATACTAAAACCATTTTGTATTAACATAAATAACATAGTTTTATGAAAAAAATTACCTCATTCCCCAAGATCTGAAAACCGCAGTGAGAAGAGAGGTATTGATTTACATTTTTGCCAATCTCGTTATTAATATCTGGCTGGATCCTTGGGAGCTAGATTCTCAGATACGTTTCTGCATTCAGCCTGTTGCCCAATCACACGGCATGCAGCCTTGGGAAAGTACACTTGAGTACAAAGTACTCTGTACAGTTGAGAAAGGCAACCAGTGTCTTAGTACTGTTATAGGTATAGTTTTGACCTCACCAACCCTCTGAAAAGATCTCTGGAACCCCCAGGGAGTCCCTGGACTCTACCTTGAGAACTGTCTGGTGCTTGATACCATTGGTTTCTTGATGGCAAGGCCACCTTTTTTTCATCCTTATAGCCTGGGTTTTAAGCAAATTATGGTGATGACTCAGTAAATCTTGTTTGAAATACTTGGAAATATCCCTGATATTGGGGGCACCCCCCCGCCGCCATGGCAGTAGCCCGGGGAAATACTGCGCTTATTCAGGTGATGTTACAGAGGCTGAGAGCATTTGGATTCTTTGGGGGACCAGTCTCAAGAGGCGCTAGTTCTGTTGCATACTCTCCGTGCTCTCAGATCTCTGTGTTTTGAGGAGCATTTTGATTTGGGGGAACAGCCAAAGGCCATGTAGAGTGAAATCTGGTTAATAATATGCGTAGCCAATTGGGTAACACTACATTTTGGATTTTTCAAAAGTAACACCGACTCCTTGCAATTTGGATTGCAAGTCTACCTTAATAGCCATCTGCCAGGTCTACACCAATGTTTATATGTGTGCAAAGTGATGTTCGAGCATGTCTGAGACTTGTGCCATCATTTGGAGAGCAGACATTGGAAACTATCTCCATGTCTACTACCAGAGACCCGTTTAATAAATGGTGGGCATCCATGGAATAGAACACTCAGCAGCTGAAAGAAAGAAAGTTCTGGAACTTGTTGATAATAAGTTAACTCCAGGATATATTCAGTGAAATAGCAGAGGCAGAACAACAGATAGAGCATGCTATCACCTGGCGGGAAAAAACTGTTTTGCGTGTGTGTGTGTCTGTATGTCTGCATGTGTCTGTCTGTCTGCTTATGTATACACAAACTGTAGGCTAAACTGGAAATGCTGGTTACCTCCAGGGAGGGGAACAGGCTGACTGGGGTGAAGGGTGTGGGAAAGCAGTGTTTCAAAGAGTCTCCTTTTGTACCTTTTAAATTCTGAATGATCTGAACGCTCCCTGATGAAACAGAAACTTTTCACCGAAAAATAAATAAATAAATAAATAAATAAGTAAAATAAATAACACAAAAACTTTGAAAGAAGCCCCACACCAAAAAGATGAATGATGTTTCCTCCTCCCTCCAAAATTAAAAATAAAACGATTCCTAACTCTTAGGCTGTTCTCCAAAGAGTCCTCAGTAGTCCGTGAGTGGTGGGACTATGAGAAGGAATGTATAATGCGCATGGGGCCATGTGCAGAGGGGACATGAGAAGGAGGCAAGGACATGCGTTTGTGACAAGAACTGGCTATCTCTGCAGTGGTGCCTTAATCTTGTCACCCTGGCCCCGTTTTACAAATAGGGCAACGGAGTCCAGGCAGGCTCCCTGACTCACCCCCATCACCTGGGCTTTTGGTTCCAAATCTTTCCTTATTAAGGGATTTCCTTTCTGCTTCTGCAGGTCTTTGGGGGGGGGGGGCTGTGGGGGGTTGTGGGGGACAGAAGGGGACAGATCCTCTTTTATTTGGTCTTAAACCTACTCTGTCCTCGCCTCATACCCTGAACACGGGCTGAGCGGCTGTGATGGCGCCCGGTGGCCTGTGTCTCTCTGACTCTACCCCACGCCCAGGAAGGGCGTCCTCCTGCAGGTGCCTCCAGGACACCGCTCTCGGTGTGTGGTAGGCTCAGCTCCCCTGTTTCCCAAACCGGCGTTCCCCACTTATCACTTTGCCACGCCCATCTCTACTTTATCACTCGGTTTGGTTGTTTTGGGGGGACTTGGGGCTGTTTCAAATCAACTTCCCTTTCAAAAGGTAAAGATCTGCCAGCAACAAGGGAGGAGGCTCGCCCTGGCTCCGATCGGTGGAGCCTCCGCGTGCTAGAGAGCCATCTCTGGCTTCCGTTTGTTGGTTGGACAGATACATACGGAGGCTGTTGGGTGCATAGGCACTGCGGGAGGCCCTGGGGCTGGAGGGGTGGTGGATGGACAGCAGTCAAAACCCAGATACACCAGCGAGGCAAATTCATACACTAGCAGATCAGAGGGTGCTGTCACAGGGAGAGGCTGGGGGGTGCACTCCAGGCTGCACGTTTGCCGAAGGCCTACCTAAAGATGCTTTGGTTCGGACAGAAAAGTTCTTACAATGCTTTTGGAGGCCTCCCCTGCAGCGGGGAGATGCTGATGTCCGCCCCACCCCGCAGGCTCCCGAGATGGAATGAGAAAGGTGGAGAAGAGAGGGGCCTGTACCCTGGGGTTCTGTGTCTACCAGCTGCTGCTAAATACCTCTGAGAAACTCTGTTTCCAGCTAAAGGAGACCATCTGTCAGGACCCGGCACAGGAACAGCCTAGGTGGACTTCCTGGCGAAATGAATTGGACCAACTCTAGGTTCCAGAACGCCAGAGCCAGCAGCAATGCCTTCCTGGATGAACCCACACCACGGCTCTACTCCGGTAAGACCAGCTGAAAACCAGCCCGAGGCCAAGGAGCTATGATTCACTGTTAAACCATATAGTCAGAACACTTAGTTCTCAACCCTATACGTGGGTATTCTAACTATGCCCATTTCACAGATGAAGAAAATGAGGCTCAGTGACTGTGCTAAAATCACACAGTTAGGAAGTGCCCTGAGACCCTAGAGCTCAGGCTCATTCATGACCATCTTCATGCTCGTCCTCCTCACCCCCACTGACCCTCCTCTGCCTTCCCAGCTATGTCCTTGCCTTCTTAACCCTCTGCTCTCTGTCCTCCTCATTACAAACGAGGGTGCTCTATCCCAGCCAGCCCCCCCACCCCAACTGGTGCCCCCGGCTCCCCTCTCACAGCTCCAGGCTTACGTGTGACTTCTCAGCCCCCCATCCCCCCACACCAAGCCCTATGGCTTGGTTCCTCATCTTTGGTGTTGGTGTCACAGGCACTGGGAAGATCTGGTTTCCAAACCCCTCCCTACCCCTCACTCGGAAGGTGGGCAGGAGCTTGTCAAAGAGAAACTTGGTGAGGTCAACTGTCTTACTCAGAAGGGGGACAGAAGGAAAGGCAGAGGGGAAGTGGACCATTAAGGTGCCTGATGCAATTCTGTTTGGCTGTAGAGCCCCAAGAGGCTGGGATGCTTAGTGGGTCCGCTCCTAGGTGCTATTTTTCATCAGCAGGCATCGGGTCGTCCTAGGGATGCCTTAGATTCCCTTCGCCCAACCTGAGAGACAGCTCTGCTTTTGGGTGTCTGCAGGCCAGCTCCCAAGGAGTGTCTGGAGAGGTGCTACCGGCCATCGGGGCTGGATTGGACAGCCCCACTTTATGGGGGGAAGGAAGTGGAGGGACCTAAGTGCACACAAAGAGAGCTTTGGATTTGGAGTCCAAATCTCAGTCCACGGCTCCAGCCCCTGTGTGGGCCACGTGGCTCATGCTGAAGCTTCTCACATGTGCAGTGGGAGGGTTTGACGGGGTATGTTTTAAGATTCCTTCTGAGAATCCAGGGATGGGCTGTGTCTGGAGAGGGGATGGACTTGGTGTCTCCATCCCTTGACACGGGAGAAATGGTTTCATAGTGTGGAGAATAGCACATCCTCCCCCGCTGCCCTGAATTTGGGAAAGCTCTCACATAACACCCTCTAGTTCCATCCATGTCACTGCAAATGGCAAGATTTCATTTTTGATGGCTGAGTAGTATTCCATGATAGATATTAGATAGATGGATGGTTAGATAGAGAGATAGATAGTTATAGAAAGATACAGGTAGATACAGACACAGATCTCTCTATCTATCTGTCTGTCCCCCACATCTTCTTGATCCTTTCATCTGTGGATGGACATCTAGGCTCTCTCCATAGTTTGGCTATTATGGGCATTGCTGCTATAAATATTGGGGTACAGGTGCCCCTTCACCTGCTACCTCCACCCGGTATCAGCCTACCTTTCCAGGGTCCTGACCCCTTCCTGTCCCACTGCAGGGTCCTCTCTGGGTACCCCTCATCTGCCTTATTCTGGTTATCTTTTTTCTGGACATCCTGTCATATCTGGTGTCCCTTAATCCTTTGTAACGGGGCGAACATGAGAGTGAAAAAAACACACAAAGACGACAAAGGGTAGCATGCATACACACACAATTTAAAGTCCAAGACATGTGGGTTCAAGTCCCAACACTGCCCCTCACTTGTACTGAGACCTTGAGCAAATGTGATCTATGTCTGAACTGGTTTCTTTACTAACAATTGCTCCTGTCTCTTTGTCTGTTTATGAAGATTGGCTGAGATACTGAATGTGCCTGGCATGGGTTAAGTCCCCAGTAAACGGTAACTGATATGACATTGATGTCCTGTAGAGCTCACTTGCAATGTGTGCTGTGAGTCCTTTTGGATTGCTCTGACAAATGACCATAGACTGGGTGGCTGGTAAGCAACAGAAATCTGTTTCTTATAGTTCTAGATGCTGGTAGATACAAGATCAAGGCACTAGCACATTCAGTGTCTGGTGAGAGCCCACTTCCTGGTTCATAAATGGTAACCATCTCCCCCCTCCCCCGTGTCCTCACATGGTGGAAGGGGGCAGGGGGTTCGATGGGGGTCTCTTTTATCAGGGCACTAATCCTATTCACGAGGGCTCTACCCTCATGACCTACTTACCTCCCGAAGGCCCCATTTCCTAAAACCATCACCCTGGGGCTTAGCAGTTAACATACGAATTTTGGCAGGACACAAACATTCAGTCTGTAACATGTGTGTAAAAAGTACTCTCAGATTTCCTTTCCTTTTCTTTTCTGCAGAGAACTTCACAACCCTGAAGCCAGAGGCTAAATCTAATGAGCTTAGCAGGTAGGTGAGAGGAGGGCTGGACCCATGGATGAGAAGTACTGGGGACTGTGGAGGAGGGGTCTGCCTGGCTTGGGTGTGGGGACTGGTGCGAGTGGGACCATGGCTCTGGAGGTTGGGGCAGAGGAGAGAGGCTCAAAATGGATGCAGGAAATGGGTGGGTATTGGAGACATGGAAGCCCGGAGATGGAAGAACTCCTCCAAGTGTAGGAGGCCCCAGGGCAATTCTGTGGGTGGTCACCGACCCTGGTCAAGGCAGCTGGAACACCCTCATTTCCCTTGTTTGCTTCTCCCAGCTTGGGCACCGCGGCCACAGCCATTTCTGGCTCTGTCGGTGTTGTGGCTCTCATCTTGCTCCTGGTGGGTCTCTTGTCCATGACCCTGAAGAAGTGGAGACGTGAGAGTGAGTTGAACAAGCTGGCCCTGGAACTGGGGGGTGGAGATGGGGGTGTCTCTCCCAGGGGCCAGCCTTGGGGGACGGCAGGAGAGGGGGAGCTATGGCCTCTGTTGCTCAGACCTACCAGACAGACTCTGCACAGAGCAACAGATTTATTTATGGTGCAAATTCTTTATGCTGAGGGTCATATAGAAGCAATCTGCATATATACTTATGGTTTATAACATCAATGAAAAGAAATACTGATGCCACATAAACTCATCTAAGTAATTACCCAGATTATGAAGTTTACCAAGAGTGCACACTCTCCCATCACATTTCGTGCACTTCGCTTCCTCTCAGGAGCCCTGTGGGTTCAATACAGTGAACTTGGCATTTCAAGCAGAAGTCCAGCAGTCAACCAAATCAAGATGGTTACTATGTCCACTCAAGCTGACTCTGAATGTATTCGCTTTTCTAGGACTGTTTCGGAAACAACTGAGGCATCAGACCGACTTTCTCCATAAAACTTCGGTAAGGAGATAGTCTTCATACCTAGAGGAGTGTCTGGTCACCTCTGCCACGATTCCAGGCTGTTTCCTATGTAGATGCCATAGAGGGAGTAGTGGGATGAGGCAGAAAACAGCCCTAAAAGAAACTGTTTTTGAAGATAGAAGGAAATCCGAGTTTGTTCGGCAAAAACCCGATAATACTCCACTTGCAGTCCTGCAGGGGGCCAGTAGCTGGTATCGTGTCTGGAAGTGTCCAGTGCCTCGGTCTCTGTGTCTAACTGGGGTCTTGTCTCTGAAGGAGCTTTCTTGCCATGCTGATGCCATATATTCCAACGTGATCAACCTGGATCCCTGGAAAGAGGACGACTTTGCTGTCTATGGCAACGTGCCCCCTTTCGATAGCCCCAGGAAGACGTCCCCAGACCGAGTGGAATATGCCTCCATTGTATTTCGCTGATGGGAGGCCGGCCACATGCTTCAGGTGGAGTGTCAGACCTACACCCCAGCGGGATCCTGAGTCGGCTTGTGCTTCATATGGGTGATGTGTGTGTGTGTTTAGAAATATGCATAAAACACATTTTAATGGCTGTAAATGGCTGGTATTTCTTCTAATTTATTGGAAATAAAGTGCAGTTCTGATGGAAAGGAGTGGCATACAAGAGACAAGGACATGCTGGTCCAAGCCACCCCAGCCCCAGAAGCAGATTCCTGAGACAGATGAGCCAACAAAGAAGACTTCTCTAGTTCTTGCCCTTCCTGAGGCAGGGTTCATACTATTCAGGGCTCAGCTTCTGGATTGTGTCTCTCTTATTCTGTCTTGTTAAGAATTAACACCCTGTTGGTGTCTGTGGAGACATGAATGGTTGCCGACCTTGTACGTCTGCCCAACAGAACCGCTGGGCAGTATAGCAAGAGTGGGGGGGGGGGTACAAGCGGAGGCCTGGTGAGTGCCCGTAGGCAGGGAGGGCCCTCCGGGGAAAGGAGTGTGGAAGGAATGTCACACTGTCACCACTGACCAGGAACAGCTCTGTGGGAACTTTGGAAGATGTCTGGAATTATGGTTGAATGTCTCCTTTTCTTCATTTAAAAACATGTATTAAACCTCACCATGTTCTAGACTCTGGGAATCTACTGTGACCCCAAAAGACAAAACCTTGTCCTCACAGAGCTTATCTTCTAGGAGGGGGAAATAGTCAATGAACAAATGAGCACATACACAAACTGTCCGATGGGGCCGTATGCTGTGGGGAAAAATAAAGCAAGTCGTGAAACATAGGCAAGGCCAGGTGGGAGCGGGGTGCTGTTTTGCGTTGGATGACCAGGGGAGGCCTCACCATTGCTTGACCTAAAGGAAGTGACAGTAAATTGGGAAGAACATTCTGGGAAGAAGGAATATCAAGTACAAAGGCCCTGGGGTGGGAGGACACCTTACATCGTCAAAGAATAGCAAGGAGGTAAGTGTGTTTGGAGCGGAAGGGAAACAGAGTGAGGAGATGAGGTTTGTGCAACAAATCAGCCCCTGAGTTTGGGAATCAGGGATCCAAGGCAGCATTTCCCATAGCATCTTCCATGGGATGTTAGTTCGGAGCAGCCTGGTTTAGGAGGGATTGTGCCTCTGGCTGTACGTACTACTCTCTGTATTCCCACTCCTCTTCTCTGTGGATCTCCAGCATTCTCCTCACTTACAGGGGGACCCCTGGACCCCAGGCCTGATCTTCATGTCACCCTAACCCTGTCGTCACCCAAGGTGATTTAAGTGGCAAGGTAGACAGTCCTCCCTGCCTCTGAGCTCAGAGTCCCCCACAGTGTGTCCTTCTAGTTGTAGGAGACATAAATCGATGTAGGGATGGAGAGATTAAATGAGATCTAGGACCAAATAAGTTTGGGAAATAATGAATAAGCAAAGAGTAGTGGAGAAAAAGAAAGTTTCACTTAAAACCAAAGCTGATGAAAGCCACGGCTTGTCTTCAGAGGAGGGAGGTGGCCTGGTTTATGTCAATAACACCGTGTCCTATGGCTCCATTCCATTCATAAGGAAGGAAGAGGAGTGGAGGAGGTAGAGAGGAAGCACTGACATTTCCAACCCTCTGCCACCTTTTCTGTGTCAGTCAAGGGCAAGTCCAGGAGTAGAGAGCCCTCTGTTTCAGCAGAGACAGTATGCTTATCTCGTGCCCTGGTGGGCCGGGGATTTTCCTAGCATACACCCGCTGTCCCAGCGACACTCTTATGAGATCCCCTTTCGCTCTGAAGTATTGTAGTTTGTATGGGACAGTGTGCGGTGACCCATTAACAAGGCAAAAGTGCAAAAGAAGGTCTAAGGCCAAGTAAGGAGGGGAAAGTCAAGATGGTTTGCACCATAAAGTGAGAGTGAGTTGGGTGGGGGTGGAGGAGCCTGGGAGAATCATGAGTTAGGGGGGATAATGGCGAAAGTTTTGAGAGGAAGGTGGGGCTAAAGTCAGATAAAAGACTTCTACCACTACAGACCTCAGGAAAGCCTGCTGAACACACCAATGCCTGGTGTAGGTGTTCTGAGGAAGGGAAAAGGGGACTGAAATATGCCTCTTGCTCAGCATAGAGCAGAAATAAGAGGGAAGTGGTAAAAGGTGCTATATGAATGAGCTGGACAAGTCGGGGGGAGGCTGAACTCAGAGCTGGAAGTGAGAACACAAACCCTCTGGAAACTCTCAGAAATCTCGGGGAGGGCCCCAGAGTTTCCAAAGAACCAACAGCTAGAATATTGAGTGAATAGTATTTAAATCTTAATGGGCAGATTGACCCCTACATCAATCTGGCTTGTAACATTTAAACAGGATTCTTTATTGCAGGACTTCTCAGAGCCTTCAATATGTAATGTATTCTGTGAATGGTCATGTAGTGGCCTTTAAACTCCTTTTCATTCCCCAAGGAGCATCCCATAGGACAGCAAATATTCCTTATAGCACCTGTGGGAAGAGTTGGTATAAGGGGACATCTGCCCAGGTGGCAGTGGCACAGAGAGACCCCAGGGACCAGGCTAATTCTGCTTCTGCCCAGGGAGGGTGCAGAGAAGCCATTAGACTTTCATGGTGGCAAATGGAGTGTCTGCTCAGCCTGAAGCCAGGACACCCCCTCTACCAGCCTTGGTCTGTGACAACTCCAAATTCTTAGTGACACAGCATGAGACGTCTCTCTATGGTAGTAGCTCTCAGCTGGGAGAAAGTTCACTTCCCCTTCCAGGGGACATTTGAAAATATCTGGAGACATTTTTGATGGTTACAATGAGGTGGGGTGTGTGTGTTACTGGCATACATTGGGTAGAGGCCAGGATGCTGTGGAACATCCCATGATGCATTGCCCTCCCTTCCCCCCAACTAGAATTATCCTTCAGCAGCATTGCTCTTCAGAAATCCTACTCTAAGGTCTTCCTGGAGCCCATGTGCACTCCGCCCCCCCCCCCCCCGCCCCGTGCTGGCTCCTATAGATCTCTAAACTGAAGACATTGCTCTGCTTTCTCGGACCCAATCTTGGGGCCCATGGTGATTTTAACACCAGTAAAACGAACACTTAATAGTCATTAAGAAATCTTAGCTCCTGGAACAAAGGATGGCCAACCATCCCAATTTGCTGGGGACTGTCCTAGTTTTAGAGCTGATAATTCTAGGTTCCAGGAAACCTCTCAGGTATGGGCTAATAGCTAGGACTCCAGTACTAAATCAACATTTATGACTTCGGAGGAAACGGCTGCCCTTTGGATGGGAGAATTCTGGATATCTCCAGCTAAAGCCTGGAGGGCAAATGAGTTATGTGCTCTAAGAAGATCCAGGTCTTGGGCATTAAGACAAAGTCCTCCAGCTCATCCGCAGAAGTTGTCCGCAGCTCAACAGCCTTCCTCTCTTCGCCTTCCGCCCACACCCATGACTCCTGCCCATCTCTGAGGAGCTGCTCAGAGCATTTTGCTGAGTGACTGAATGGATGCTGATCTTCTAGAAGATTCTTGGGAAATTCTGTTAAGTAGGTTGAGTAGCTTCTAGACGTTGTGGCAACTGTTCTTTCTTTTGGAAAAGCATAATCCTGCAAGGCTCTGAAAACCCTCAAAGAAAATGTATCTGTTTTAACAAGGACAGGGATTTAGGACATGAAATACTTTGCAAAGTCCTAAGAGAAATCTCTCTGTGACCGGACATGAGGCTTACTTCCTCTCTTAATGTTTCTAAGAAAGGATAGAAAAGGCCAGAATTACTGGTGCATGGTGATAATAAAAACTAGGTTGCCTTTTGTTTTATTTTATTGTTCTATTTATTTATTATCATTGTTTTATTATTTATTTATTGTTTATTGTATTGTATTGTATTTGTTTTATTGTTTTAAAATCCTCTGCAGACAACGCAGCCCTCTAACGCCTGCTTCGGGGATGGATGCTCCCAAGGCCACCCGCACCACTCCCTTGGGTCACCACTGTCAGCTCTCCATCTCAGCCCTTCGCTTACTGTGCTCAGCCTTTGCCAAATAAACTAATTTCCCTGAGTCCAGGCTTTCTCATCTGTAAAATGGAAATACTAATGGCTACTTCAACAGGTGCTGTCTGATGATGTTAGATGAAAATATTCTATAAACTAAAAGATGCTATAGAAAATGTGAAGAATTACCAACTGGTTATTACAATTGATTATGTTATCAGAAGTTGTTTCTCATTGATTAGTTGAGTGAACTAGATTGGCAGGACTGTGTTGCCATCATGAGAAGGGACTGGCCATTATCCATTAACACATATTCTTTTGTTTTGAAAACGTGCCTCAACTATCATTCAGCAGCAGCTCCTCATAAGCAGGAAATCAGCAAATAAATAAATCGCATGATTCCCAATTTTTTACTTCCTTAGGAGCTGATCATCTAAGTGAGGAGCTAAAATAGACACAAAACAGTGGAAGAAAATTTGTGTGCAAGGTAGGCTACCCCAGATGGAGGAAAGAATACAACATACAAAGATCCAAACTTAACAAGGAATGTCCTTCATTTTCAACGGATTCTTGTTTTAGAAAAGGATGTACTTCAGGCTTTGCAAAAAAAAGTGTACTGTACTAATACACTATGAAAATATGTTCCTGGGCATGGAATATTGAAAACTAGATCTAGTAAATTCATCGACACCTGGAAACACACCAGCTGGGGCAATCCTGATTGCACAAGGAAAGTTGGGGGACAGCTGGGGGTTCCGACGTGTTGGGTGGATGTTCCTTGAGGCCTGGTGTCTGTGCACTCCCGTTCCATTCCTGCTATGTCTTCTCTGTGCTTTTGGGATCTCTTGGTCAGGCTCCACCTGATATTGGAGCCCCTGGGGCCTCTCTCTCAGGACCTTTGTCCTCTCATTTTACTCCCAAAGGCTTCAGGAACATCAGCCTGTTCGCCACGGAAGTCTGCCTCTCTAACGGCAGACAGAAGCTGGGGCTTCTCTGACCAGAGAATGTGATGAGCCCCTCG